TTGCTGAAAACCAATATCAAAAAGAAAATCTTAAAAGCAGCTAGAGGCCAGGTGCGGTGGTTCACGTCTGTAATCCCAGCACTTTAGGAGGCTGAGGCAGGTGGATCATGAGGTCAGGAGTTCGAGACCAGTCTGGCCAATATAGTGAAACCTCGTCTCTAATAAAAATACAAAAAATTAGCGGGTGTGTTGGTGTGCGCCTGTAATCCCAGCTACTCAGGAGGCTGAGGCAGGAGAATCACGTGAGCCAAGATCACGCCATTGCACTCCAGCCCGGGCAACAGTACAAGACTCCATTTCACACACACACACACACACACACACACACACACACACACAAAACAGCTAGACAGAAAAAAGATAAAAGGACATACAAGCTTTAGAACAGTAAAAATGACTACCGATTTAATCAGAAACAAAAGAATAGTACAAATATCTTTAGTGTTTTAAAGAAAACCCAAAGCTTCTACACAGACTGTTGTACTGGACCGAGCGTAGAAAGTTAGCACCAAGACAAAAGTATGCCAGATTGCAGGGTCATTTATTATGCCAGCAACCACAGAGTACTCACGTCTCTCCAACCTGTGGCGTCGAAAGGAGGGTGCCAAGACTTTTTATACCCGAAAAACCACCTTGGAAGTGGGGGTGAGGAGCGGGGATGGGAATGAAAAGGTTTCAGACATTCCAAGGGCCAGGGAATTTTGTAATTCACCTCCTGGGCGGAGACGAGGGTGGGGGTCTCCGGACATTCCAAGGGCCAGGGGATTCTGTAATTCCCCTCCTGGACGGAGATGAGGGTGGGGGTCTCCGGACATTCCAAGGGCCAGCAGTTATTGTGAGGAAAATGGGGCAGCCGTTGCAACTTATTTAAGAAACAGTTTTGGATTTTGTAAAGATGGCGTTGCTCAGGTTCTGGCTTTAGGTCAGCACAATATCACAAGACCAAAACTATCTGCTTTACAGGAAATAGTAAAGAAAGGTATACAAGTGAAAGGTAAATCAGCCAGATGGATTCCCAGAAAATCAGCTAGATGGATGCAATGAAGAAATGAAGAAAAATGAAAAAATGAGCATCTGAAAAGGTAAATATTTGGGTAAATAAAACAAAGGGTCGGGAGGATCCCAGATAGCCATTTAGGAACAGCTCAGGATTGCAGCTCCCAGTGAAAGCGCAGAGGGTGAGTGGACGTCGCATTTTTATTGCCCACAGACTAGGAAATTCTCAGGCGGAGGAGCTCCACAGGTCGCCAGCGCGGCTGTTTCGGCCAGCGGGCCTGTGCTGGCCGGCGCCTCTGCTTTGCCCCGCAAGGCTGCTTTGTCGGCGCCCCGGAGCAGCAGTTCTCCGTACAAAATACACCGGTTTCCCAAAGTGAAAGAGGAGACGTAAAGATATTTGAAGAAATAATGCCTGAACAATTTCTAAATCTGAGGCACATTATAAATCTACAGATCTAAAAAATTCAAAGAACGCCAATAACAAAGAACACAAAAGGGGAAAAAAAAACCCTACTGCAAGGCACATATAATTAAAAAGCTTACACTCATAAAAAGAATGGGCATGGTGGCGTGTGCCTGTAATCCCAGCTACTCAGGAGACTGAGGCAGGAGAATTGCCTGAACCCAGGAGGCAGAGGTTGCAGTGAGCCGAGATCGCGCCATTGCACTCCAGCCTGGGTAACAAGAGCAAAAACTCCGCCTCAAAAAAAAAAAAAAAAAAAAAAAAAAAAAAATACCTTAAATTGGGAGAAACATATTTCATTAAGATAAAAGATAAGAATGACAGCAGACTTTTCATCTGAAACAATGCTAGAAGACAGCAGAGCAACATTTCTTTAAAAGTCGATCTGGAATTTTATACATACATAGGGAGTACCTTTCAAACACAAAGGTAAAATAAAGACTTAGTGAGACATATAAAAGAAATAATTCTCACCAGCAGTCCTGCACTAAAGAAATGGTAAATAATGTCCTTGATGCTGAAGGAAAATGGTAACAGATAGAAATTGATCTACATAAAAGAATAAAGTACACCAGAAATGGTAAATAAATGGGTAATGTGAGACCTTTTAGAAATCCCCATAATTTAACCACAATTATTAACAATGTATTGTGAAGTATATAACATATTTAGAAGTAAAATTTGTGACAAAATATTACAATGGCTAGGAAAGAGAAAACGAAAGTATACTGTTTTTAAAGTTCTTATAAGATAAAGTAGTATAATGCTACTTTAATGTAGAATGTGGTAGCAATTATATTAAAAACTCTAAAGCTACCACTAAAAAGACAAAAAATTATAAGTGATGAACCAACAAACCAGCTAAAATGGAATCACCTATAATAATGTAAATTATGTTCTCCAACTATAATGTAATTCAACTAGAATTCAATTACTAAAATATGCACTTGGCAAAGTAGCAATATCCAAAATACAAGCACACACACACACACATACAAATCAGTAAGAAAAAAGACAACTGAGCCATCAGGAGATGGATACAGAATATGAATAGGTAATTCATCAAATAGAAAACAAAGATGACCAACTTAAAAAATTCTCAATTGTACTAGTTATTATAGAAATGTATTTTAAAAACACACATACACACACACAAACAGCATTTGATATTTATCAGATTGGCAGTAACTAAAAAACAGAAAATACCAAGTGTTTATATGGCACAAACCCACAGAAGAGCAATCTGTCCATATCAAATATTTAATAAGGTTAAAACGTGCATATATACCCTGATGTGAGCACAAGGAGAAATGTATATTAAATGCACTACTGACACAACTAAGAATTGAGAAGACCCTAAATGCCCATCTAAAGAATAATAAATATATTTCTGAAACAGGTTATTATAGAGAAGTTAAAATAAATAAACCAAATCTACATTTATCAACATGAACCTCAAGAGTAAACAAACAGGTATATTTCAAAAGGATAACTACAGTATGAAACCCTTTACATAAACCTCTAATTTATTTTTTTATTTTTATTTTTTGAGATGGAGTTTCAGTCTGTTGTCCAGGCTGGTGTGCAATGGCGCAATCTCGGCTCACCGCAACCTCTGCCTCCTGGGTTCAATCAATTCTCCTGCCTCAGCCTCCCGAGTAGCTGAGATTACAGGCATGAGCCATCATGTAAGCTAATTTTTTTGTATTTTTAGTAGAGACAGAGTTTCTCCATATTGGTCAGGCTGGTCTCAAACTCCCGACCTCAGGTGGTCTACCCACCTTGGCCTCCCAAAGTGCTGGGATTACAGGTGTGAGCCACTGTGCCCAGCCGTAAATCTCTAATTTATACAATACTTTATATGGTTGTAGATAACTAATATACATAAGAAACACATACACATGCTTGAGAAGGATTCTTGCCAACTTCATATGGTGGTTACTCTGGGAGAAAGGAATAAAATGAGAGGGCTTTAAGTATGAAAATATTTAATTTGCCAAGTCAGATCTAAGACATATGGCAAAATCTTCACATTTATTAAAACTAAGAAGGAGTATGTCAGAGCCCCATATTATCTTCTGCACTTAGCAATAATGTAAAAAAAAAAAAAAATCTATGACAAGAATTTTGCTTCTGACCTTGCTCCCTCTTCAGAAATAATAGGAAAGAACCTGTAATCTAATAAGACAACTGTTTCTCTTCAAATAAAAGGAAGCAAAGACTAATGCTGGTATATCAGAAGGTAGAAAGAAGGTTACCAGTTCTCACTTTCAGTATGTAATTATCTGCTTTTGATATGGTAGCACACACATTTTTTTTTTTTTTAAGTTCCAGACACAAGTGTAGAATGTGTAGGTTTGTTACCTAGGCAATACCACTCAGGACATAGGAATGCACAAAGATTTCATGACAAAAACACCAAAAGCAACTGCAACAAAAGCCAAAATTGACAAACAGATCTAACTAAAGAGCTTCTGCAGAGCAAAATAAACTATCATCAGAGTGCACAGGCAACCTACAGAATGGGAGAAAAACTGTGCAATCTACCCATCTGACAAAGGTCTAATAACCAGAACTACAAGGAACTTAAAACAAATTTACAGTAAAATAAAATAAAATAAAATAAACAACCCCATCAAAAAGTGGGCAAAGAATGTGAACAGATACTTCTCAAAAAAAGACATTTATGTGGCCAAAAAACACATGGAAAAAAGCTCAACATCACTGATCATTTGATAAATACATATCAAAACCACAATGAGATACCATCTCACATTAGTCAGAATGGCAATTATTAAAAAGCCAAGAAACAAGATGCTGGTGAGGCTGCAGAAAAATAGGAACGCTCACACACATCTTTAAGCGTGCCTATTATGAAGCAGTCCAGAGAGCCTCTCTCTTACCACCTTCTTTGGGGGTGGAGGGGTTAAAAATTACGGTTTTCTCCTAAAGTAGAAAAGAAAGAATAATTCGCTGAGTTACATAGGAAGGAATCAGGGATTCAGACTTGCAACCAATCATTCTGTTTTCAGCCTTTACTCTAACAGATATCTGATGGTCCCAATCCCAGGGCCTCTGCTTCGTAACATAAATAGGGTCAGTTCTTAGCTTTCTCCCTATTGCTGGTTTAGCATTCAGTTTCCTCAGATCTGCTAATCTATTACCTTTTGTCCATCTGTTTCATGGCTTACAAAATATTCCTGAAAATGTATCTTCTCTCATTTTTATTTTTTTTGTGTCTTTAAAATCCCTAATTTACTGTCATTTTCATCAATTCCAAAGGGAGCAAGGTAACTGCATATGTTCAATCTCTCATAAAAAGTCATTTTAGGGCTAGGTGCAGTGGCTCACGCCTATAATCCCAGCACTCTGGGAGGCTGAGGTGGGAGGATTGCTTGAAGCTAAGAGTTTGAGACTACTGTAGGCAATATAGTGAGACCTGTATCTACAAAAAATAAAAAATAAAAATAAACTAGTTCGGTGATTTAAAAACAAATTAGTGGTTTGGATGGGAGGCTGAGCCAGGGGGATCACTTGAGCCCAGGAGGTGGAGGATGCAGTGAGCTATGACTGTATCACCGGACTCCAGACTAAGTGACAGAGAGAAACCTTGTCCCTTAAGGAAAAAAAAAAATCTTTTATATCATTTATCATATGTGAAAATACCTGCTTTACTGATTTAGTTCACACATACACACACACACACACACACACACACACACATACACTCATACACACAGCAGAATATCTTGTCCACAGCCCTTAACACAACCCCTGGCACACAATAGGTGCTAATAGAAAACTATGGTTAAAACCATAAGAGGAATTCCCATGAACCCACCTCCCAAACAGATATAACATAGGAGACAACTAATTTTGGCTAGGTCAACCTGACATACCTTTCTCCTACTAGAAGATCCTCACCATAGTCAGTGGGATCCAGATCCAAGCTAAGTTAATCATAATCTAGCCACAGAAATTTTTAAACTGCAGTTGGAAAGAAAAGCTCCCTAACAAAAAACATACATATAAACCAACAGTACAAATGACATTATTATCCACCATGTGATTAAAAAAACCTATGAGAAAAGAAAATCAGAGCTGTCCCAATCAAACAAACACAAAGGGGCATGAAAGAAAGACTCTCAACAACATTCAAATCCCTAATCTCATGTTCTTTGTAGTCTTCCAGAGAAGCCATGGTTCTAATCTTCTCAAAATTTGGTTGTTCAACTATTCCTTTTTGTGTATATGTGTTACTCACTACCTTACTGTCTCAGTAAATATCTCCTTTATGTTTAGCCTCATGGTAGTATTTGCTTATGCTAAGGTGTATGTTGCTTACAATGTATCACATTCAATTTCCAATATTTGGAATTTCACATTTTACATTTTTAACATTTACGTAAAATGAATGGAATTTTACGTCTCATTACATGAAATAAGATGTATTTAGGAGAGATCGCTTTAAATGCTCTTAGTTATATCACAGACTGCTATTGCTACTAATGGACACCTGCTGAAAGAATTTTATGTAGATAAAAATAATCTCTATTTCTCCTCCAAATCTCACATATGAAGAGGGGACAATATGGCAAGGAAGATACTCACTAGAAGACAAATGACTAACGAAACTATTTCTTACGAAAATGAAACTTTACTTTCTTGAGATTTTTAACACTCAACTTTTGTTAATAAAAGCTGGTCACTGCAAATAAGTTATAATGTATGGAAGTTGTTAAGATAAAAAAAAGAAGGAATCTAGCAGAAGTGACACTTTGTAGCTGTTTCTAGCTGAGTAAAATTGAATGAGTTGCTGAAGCTATCCTATTATTTTTAAACATTTCGGATTTGTTTCATTGCATTAAAGTTCATCATTTAAAATACATGTATTTTTAAGATTAGCTACCACTTACTGCTTCCAGTTGTTTCTTCTTCTGCACTAGTAACTCCAACATAAGATTGACATTGGCCAAATCAAGGTTATCTTGGTCAGTTCCCAACAGATCTTGAAATATCTGCCACCTGTGGCCATTCTAAAAAACAAAGAAAGAAGAAACACAACAACTTCCTAAGAAGACTGTTTTAGAGACTAAAAAAAATGTTTATTTGCTACTTCCAAATATGCTCATTACATAGAGAGTAAAAATACACTGTAATGTTCTAAACTACCCCTTCCTATCTAGTGGCTCCTTACTGTCTTCCGGTTATAACCTTAACACTATTTCTTCTCCCTTAAATGAATTTAGATAACAGATAACAAAGGTGCATTCAAGACTATTCTAAAGCTGTAATTTACCTTCAAAATAAATGACTGAATGTAATTATTTGTCTAGCCATATTCTCAGTTTTGCATGTAGTAAGGAATTAAGCTCATTTGCCTCAATAATTTGTGACGAATCCTTTAAAATTGAGTTGAAACTCTATCAAGAGGTTTGTTCTTGTTTTTGTTTGAATATAGACAGAGTCTCGCTATGTTACCCAAGCTAGTCTCAAATTCTTGGGCTCAAGTTATCTTCCCACCTTGGCCTTTCAAAGTGTTGAAATTATAGGCATCAACCCAGTCTCAACAGTTTTTTGAAAATATCTAACCATTGTTTCACCATGCAATACAATTCTTCAAATGTCAAGTATTAAAAGTCAAATGTTTCAATATAATCTTACAAGACCTTTCAAAACACAATCACTCTAGTAAAGTATTACAGACAATGCAGTCAAGAAAGTTATTTATTTGAATTGAACAATCCTAAAGAAATCTCATTAAGGAAAATCAATAATATACTAAATTTTAACATCTAAGTAATATTAAACCAATAAAAACAACAAAATGAAATGTATTAAAAATAGTAATAAGAGTTGAAACATACGGTGCTACTCACTGAGTGGTCCAATTTGAACCTCTTTTCCTCACATCTTTGCTTCTGTTTGAGAATAAGCTCATTCACTGAAAACAGAAACAAAATAAAAAGCATACATAATTTGTATTTTTGTTAAATGTATCATGTAATTCGGTTTAGATAGATTCTATTTTACCTATACAAAGCCCCCAAATTAAAAATATGCTAAATGGAAAGTGTCAGCTTTTTATTTCAAATTAGAAAACAGTTTTGCTGCAGCTGCTACTACTACAACTATTATTACTATAGGAGGATTCTTCAGAATATGTATTTTCCCTTACATGTTTCTCAATGATGATGCTATTGGCACTTACAAAGAAAAAATTCCTCATTTACCATGTGAGACCATCATAAATATGCCCCATATGGTAACAAGGCATGAGTAACTGAGTATGTACTACGAGTTACGCACTTAAGACTTGGGTTTGTTCTTTTTCTTTGTAATTTTTCAATAAATAACACAGAAGACACTTTTAGTTACCTATCCAAAAGCCATCCTACCCTTTTTCTTTATAATAACGTGACTTTTTTTCCAAGTATGAGACTGCCATATAACTTTCAGAGTGGTTAGATCCTGCCTCAACCCCACATATTACTCTTGACTAACCTAAGGCAATCTAGTCATTCATGGCCTTGCCAGTGGTTGATGTGGGGTTAAGTATGTAACCCAATTTTGACCAATAGGACATGTGCTTTCTTTCAGAAAGAAAAGGAGAAAAACCCCTGCCTTCATAAGGGGATGAGATCTGGAACTGCTTTGAGCCATCCTGCAATATCAAGAATAGCCAGCCAAAGACCAAGGTATATTCCGGCGATGGAAGAATAGAACAAGAGAAAGAACCTCACCAGACCACTGAACCACTGGTAACTAGCTCTAGAAATTCTTTCCCTGTGAATTGATACATTTTCCATAATGTTTAAAACACTTTAAATTGTATTTTTCTACAGCCAACAAATATAAACTGATACAAAAAACTGTTTGTTTTTGTTTTTTAAAAAGGGGAAACTAGCACTAGGCTAGGTAGGCACTTCATAGGCAAGATCTTACAGATTATTCTCCCCAGTTAGAGATAAAGAAATATTAGCACAGAGAACATAAGGAACTAATGCATGGTGACATACAGAATGAGAAAGTGCTGAGAATACAGACCCAACTGTCTGATACGTCCCACTATACCACAATGCAAGAGTAAATATTTTTGAAAACAACAGATACCAAGCTCGTAAGTATGCAAGCTTCAAAGAGCCCAAGGCCTCAAGCAACTCAGACTAGCAAGACAGATGTATATGATACAGTCCTCAAAATATAATACGATAATAGTACTATCATTAAAAAAGATTTACAAAGTGTACATGCAGAGATCAATCAAAATGTTAACAAGCACACTTCATATAGAAGGCAACATTAGAATTGGAACATAATAAGCACACAAAGACTAACCAAAATTAGGAGTGAAGAAAAATTCAAGAGAGAATGTGTGTGTGTGTGTGTGAGTGTGAGAGAGAGAGAGAGGCAGAGAGAGAGAGAGAGAGAGAGAGAGATATCAATATAGTAATCCCAGCACTTAGGGAGGCTGAGGCAGGTGGATCACCTGAGGTCAGGAGTTTGAGACTAGCCTGGCCAACATGGTGAAACCCTGTCTCCACTAAAACTAGAAAAATTAGCCCAACATGGTAGCACACGCCTGTGGTCCCAGCTGACCTGGGAGGCTGAGGCAGGAGAATCACCTGAACCTGGGAGGCAGAGGTTGCAGTGAGCCGAGATCACGTAACTGCACTCCAGCCTGGGTGACAGAGCTGGACTCCATCTCTAAATAAATAAATAAATAAATAAATTCAATCGATACAGCTAAAACAAGGGTCATAGTTATTTTGTGAATGATTCACAGGGATTAAGAACTAAGCCTGGAAATGTAGGCAGATCAGAGCCAGATTGTGAAGGGCCTGAACTCCAGGTATCTTACACAAGAAAAGTTATTATAATCCAGATAAAGGAGAGAGCATGAAATAATGCAGTGGGAATAAAAAGGAGTAAGTTAATAAGAAGATAATGTCCCAGTTATGAATTTAACCATTTGAAAAAAAATTGTGACTGTTAGATACTTTACATAAATATGCCACATTGAATTTTACCAAGGCATCTTACATACCATTATATTTGATTCTCAATAATACTGTAAGATCAAACTTTCTTTTTTCAAGAGCACCCCTGTTAACTAAAGATCAAGCCTGTAATCATTTATTTATTTTTTAAGACAGGGTCTGGCTCTGTCACCCAGGCTGGAGTGCAGTGGCACTCTGCCTCCCAGGCTCAAGCCATCCTCCCACCTCAGCCTCCCCAGTAGCTAGGACTATAGGTGCTCACCACCCCACCTAGCAAATTTTTGTATATTTTATAGAGACGGGATTTCGCCATGTTGTCCAAGCTAATCTTGAACTCCTGGATTCGAGTGATCCGTCTGCTTTGGCCTCCCAAAGTGCTGAATTGCAGGCATGATACACTATGCCCAGCCAAGGTCAAATCCAGCCTGTAAAGGCCACAAAATTAAAATGTAAAATAAAGTTACAGCAAGTGAAGTCAAAAAGAAAGCGTAAACAAACAATGTATTAACTGGCTTGCGATACCATATAAAGACATTTAAATTCTATATTTTAACAAACTTTTTTACTACTGTATCAGATTTTTCATGGAGCTACTTGAAAAAATGATTATTTTTTTCTTCTTTAAAAACTATATCTAGGCTGAGCACAGTGGCTCATGCTTGAAATCCCATCACTTAGGGAGGCTGAGGGAGGCAGACAGCTTGAGCCAGGAGCTAGAGACCAGCTTGGGTAATATAGCAAAACCCTGTGACTACAAAAAATACAAAAATTAGTCAGGTGTGGTGGTATATATCTGTAGTCCCAGCTACTCAGGAGGCCAAGGTGGTAGTACTGCTTGAGCCCAGGAGGTTGAGGCTGCAGTGAGGTATGATCACTGTACTTGAAAGATTTAACAGAAAACATACCTTAAAATGCAAGGTATATAAAATGGACTCAACATTCAAATGTCAATATATGAAAGTCATTAGAGTCACACATTTAGTGGGAAAATCCTTTCAAATCTATGCCGCAACTTACAAAAAGAATAGCAAAGTGGTGAATTCCATTCCGTAACTTTGAAAATTTATTTTAAAACCAATGCTTACCTGTTAGCAAAAGACACCAGCTAGCATCTTATTTATACTATAAAGTATTTAATGATCAATGACTGTCTTGTCCACTATTATGGTCCCTGACACCTAGTGGGCACCTGGTATTTGCCAAATAAATGAATTAACTAATTAAACTTTGATGACATGCTCCTGGATTTTAAGTGTGACATGCTATGTTTAGCTAATACTTTCCTATTTCCAATTAATATAAGCATTTATTTGATACCATCATCAATTCTTAGAACTGATACCTAAACCTAAGGATGGTTTAAATATTTGTTAATTATCATTCTACAGAGCTTTACAACATCCACAGTACTAATAACAAACATTTCTTAGTACTAAGAAAAGTGCATTTTAATGCAAAAGACTCCATTCCAGCAACTGTCTTTTTAGAGGCAGAACAGTACAGTAAAAGCACAGATGCTTGAGCCAAATTCCCTAAGACCAAACTCTAATTCCACCACTTTGGCATAAAACTTGACACAAGTTACTCAACCTGTCTATGCCTTAGTTTCCTCACCTAAGGAAGGAGGATAAAAGCAGTACCTATCTCACAAGTCTGCCATAAGGATTGAGTTCACGTACATACAGCATTTAAAACAGTGACCGACAGTAGTAAGGACTTTTATATGCATCAGCGATTTTTTAAACAGGGATTTTATACTTTGCATGCATGTTGTGTTTTTTATTAGTGGGTAAGAGGATTATTCATTAGAGAGGTAAGAAAATTCAATTTACAATTTTTTTTTAAACGGAGTCTCACTCTGTCACCCAGGCTGGAGTGCAATGGCGCAATCTTGGTTCATTGCAACCCCTGCCTCCTGGGTTCAAATGATTCTCCTGCCTCAGCCTCCCGAGTAGCTAGCATTACAGGTGCATGCCACTACGCCCAGCTAATTTTTTGTATCTTTAGTGGAGATGGGGTTTCACCATGTTGGCCAGGCTGGGCTTCTGACCTCATGATCCGCCCACCTTGGCCTCCCAAAGTGCTGGGATTACAAGTGTGAGCCACTGTACCCGCCTACAAACTTTACACATAGAGAAAGGTGGAGAATAAGACAAACTTTACCCATAGAGAAAGGGTAAGGGGAGTGGGGTGAGGGAGGGGAAAGGGAGGAAGGGAGGAAGGGAGGAAAGAAGGAGGGAGGAGGGAGGAGGGAGGAGGGAGGGAGAAAGACAGGGAGGTACGGAGGGAGAAAGGCAGAGAAAAAGACAGTTGGGTGGGTAGGGGGATGGGGAGAAGGAAGGGAGGAGGAAAGGAGGGAGGAGGGAGGGAGAAAGGGAAGGAGGGAGGGAGACAGGGAGACAGGCAGGGAAGGAGGGAGGAGGGAAAAAGCAAACAAGCAGGGGAGCTTAGAAAGCAATCTTTGGCAGGAGCGGAGGAATACGCCTGCAGAGTATGTATATAGGGGGTGGTAATGAGAGTACACCTGTAGAGTATGTAAGGGGTGGTAATGGGAGGGGGCGGTAATGGGGGCTCTGACTTCCAGCCCTTACTTGAATAAGTCTTTCAGGATCAGGAGAGGGAAAGAGAGCATTCAAGACCAAGGGAGGCAGAGAGGAGCAGAGAGAATGTGCACACTGGAGGGAAGTAAGGGAGAAACGAAAGAGAATGAGAGAAAATGCTATGGAAGGCAGAGAAAGATGCAGGGAAGGGAAGTCAGGAGGAAGAGGGACGACAGTGTAGCACTTACAGCAGGAAAGAAAGGAAATCATATTATCTGTCTCAATGAAAGTATATATGACTCTAATGACCAAAAAACCAAATCCATCTTGAGTTATTTGGTTTCCAACTATTTCATGTTAATGTTAATAGGTCATTTAAAAAAAAAATTGTGACCATAAATCAG